AGAGAGAGGGGGGGAGAGAGAGAGACTGGGGGGGAAGAGAGAGAACGGGGGAAAGAGAGAGACTGCCCCCCCCGCGAGTATCGCGGGTCCCCCCTTGTGTTTATTATAATTCAGAACAGGTATCCATTATCCCAATTTATTTCATATAGGATTATGAATCCTTCCTTTCTGATATGCAAGTTGCATCATCTATGCCTACCTAAAAATGCAAAAATAAATTTATTTCTTGATGTGGTTCTCATAATTTTTTCCCGTAGGGCATGTTAATAGTCATGCATTTTAATTTGTTTCAAAGCAACTAGAGCAGAATGGGGTATTATTTTTAATACCAAAAAAATTATAATACAAAATTGTGTTTTTAAAATTCTGTACTTGGGTAATTAATCATCAATTCTAAATTCCATATAATACATTTGTATTTGATGCATTGAGGCTCATTCACTTGAAATGTCCTGTTGTCCTTAGCAGAGTTTTTTGCAACCATATTACCAAGCTTGCTCTCAGTCAGATCCATGTAATTTTTTGTTTCCTTTTATTTATTTCTGCAGCCCAAGATTTGTAGAAATCTGTTTTGCTTTTTGTTTTCAAGTCAAAACATTGTTGGAGTCTTTTAAACTTCAAAGGCATTTGTATTTGATTTTTAAACTTGTATAACATACTGTGCTGTAGTTATGAATAATTACATGTAATTTTCCTTTAATCTTTGGTTGGCTGGCTTGGAAGAAATCGCTAAGTATTTTAGGTTTTGCCTTTGTGTGGTATCATTATTCAATTCTAGCTACAGCAATTAGCCTCCCTTACAAAGGAATTATATCTCTGATACTAGAGAAAATGGAGGGGGAGACGTTTGCTATACCAATGTTCCTCTTCATTAGATCAAAATCAGAAGCCATGGTTTTGATCTTGGCTTCCCATTCTAGTTTGGACATGTACAAACCATAGATTTATGGTTCAGATGTAACAACAAACTTTGATGCTGCAAGCTAGAAAGACAGGGGTAGCCCATGGAACCTTGGGGGGGGGGGGACAAGTGGAAATACCTGAGTTTGAGATCATTTATGTAACAACAAATCACGTTTTGATGTCATGTCTGAACTTTAACCCTTTAAAGATTTTTTTTGCAGAGTTTCAGTTAAGTTTAAGATCTATAATTTTCCCTAGGTTATTTGAAAATTGTGTGTAAACTGTGTCTTTCAGGTTACTGGTGGAAATAGCACAGTGTACACAATACAATCTGAGTGATTCTTCCAGCTCAGAGAAGAGGAATAATAGGTGCAAATAAAATTCTGAATAACTCAACACATCTCTTACCCCCTTCTCCACCACATATAGTTCTAAATGGCCTAAAATTAAAAAAAAAACATATTCAAACTGTTAGCAGCGAACATTAAAACAAACTGGCCATATCATTGCCTCCAATAATCAAAGGGACTATGCTTTAAAAGGCTTCAAGAAAAGTTCTACTGGAATAATATGGCTTTGCAGGCCTTCCAGGCGGCTGACAGATATAGAACCTTTTGCATGTCATCCTTTTCTTTAGGAGAATAACTCAATCCAGATGATAAGTGATATCGAAGTGGAGTCATTGCAAAAGGTTCTCTTTTCACTGACGTCTGTGCTTTGTACATGGGTTTGTAGTACCTTGGTAACTCAAGAATTTTCTGCAGGAGCAAGACAACCAAAGTTAATGTTTCAGCTTGCGTTTTTTTCTCCTGAACAATAGATTTCTAAAGCACGCAATTGTATTGGGTTATTCAGGGGTCATTTCGTAGAAAAAGAGCTAGGGGAACTCATTAGCATAACTCATTAGCATATGCCACACCCCCTGAGATCAGGGGCCCGGCGGTGGACCTGCAAGGCCAGCGGGAGTGCGAGGAAGCCCCGCCAAGGCCCTCCCTGGCCCCAGGCAGGCAGGGGTGGGGAAAGGTGGGGAGGAAGCAACTTACCCTCCCTCTTCTCCTGCCTCCTCCTGGCTGAATGAGGGCTGGAAGCGGGGCGGCCGGAAGCAGGGGGCGGGGCTTCGTCATGTGCCCCGCCCCCTGCACCTCACCAGGGGGAACTGCGTTCCCCCGCGTTCCCCCCCCCGAAATGACCTCTGGGGTTATTCAATTATTGTGAGTCTGCATGGTTTACCAAATTCACTCTTCCTTGACCTGGCAAAATCATTCCCTTTTTTTTCCAGTTCAAAATAAAGTGTTCAACAACTATATAGAAATCTTTATTTTTCCAGTTCCAGGTATGCCCTTCTCAACAGTGAAAACCTCCCCACCCATGAAGTCTAACTCTATGTTTTGGCTTTATCAGGGCTTTTTCTTTCTTTTTTTTTAAGAGGTGCTGGAACCCTCAAGAGGGAAATGGAATCAGTATACTGAAAACTCATGAACTTTTAAACATTTCTAGAAGAATTTTGTCAAAGTTGTTCTGGAACTCCGTTCTAGCACGTTCCCCCAGGGAAAAAGCCCTGGGCTTTATGCTTGCATAAAGTTCATTTAAAAGTTGCCTATGCGACACAAACTCTTCCAAGACAGTTCCGCTTCAAAACCCTGGGCATGATCCAGCCATAGTTAAGTGGTAAGGTAAAGATAAAGGTTCCCTTGCTCGAAAGCCAGTCGAATCTGACTCTAGGGTTGCAGTGCTCATCTCCGTTTCCAAGCCGAAGAGCCAGCGCTGTCCAAAGACGTTTCCGTGGTCATGTGGCCGGCATGACTAAACACCAAGGCGCACAGAACGCTGTTACCTTCCCACCGAAGTGGTACCTATTCATCTACTTGCGATTTCTTGCTTTCGAACTGCTAGGTTGGCAGGAGCTGGAACTAGAGACGGGAGCTCACTCCGTCATGCGGCACCCGGGTCTCGAACTGCTGAACTACCGACCTTCCACAGCCTGCAGTTCAGCGTCTTAACCACTTGAGCCACTGAAGTTCCTAATTAAGTGGTAGAAGTACACTAATTTTAGTGGGAGAGCTAAGTGTGTTTTTAATTCCCTCTCTCAGTGAAATTGGTGGTCTATAAAATATCTCCCTGTGCTTTCAGTAATTACAAGGAAGCAAAATTTCAATAGCTATAGATCCCTTATGAGGAGCAGAGTTGACAGTCTGTAGAGAGAAAGCTACCACCTCTGCTGTTGTGGGATCACTTAGTCTGACATCTTGCCCAACAACGTGCCCAAAGGGCATTTCTAGATAAAGTCGTATTTAAGTGGAGTTGTTTGAATGTTTTCTAACATTGCTGAATAACTCACACCATAATTCCTCTTGTGCGTATGAATGTGGTCTTCTTTTTATAGGTAAATTTACAAATACTTTGTTCCTTTAACCATGTTTCAGTTATGACAATACCACTGTGTATCCACATCAGGGATCCCCAACCTTTTGGGTCCTGTGGTAACCTGGGGGATTTTGAGAGGGGGTGGTGAGCACCACCACAATATGGCTGCCGTAGGAGGTGGAGCCAAATGGAATACCTCTCTCCTCACACCTTCTGGGAAGAAGGAAAGCCCAGGTGCTTACCAGCTCCTCTTGATCCTTCAGAGGAAAACCCTATCATATGAATGAGGGAAGTCAGTAACAAGCTTTGCCTTACAATGGCCCCACCCCCTTTCTGAAAAGTTCAGAGGGCACCAAGAGAAATACTGGTGGGTGCCATGCCGCCCATAAGCATAATGTTGGGGAGCCATGTAGTTTGAATTTGGGTATTTGTGAAATCATTTCACACGTTAACAACAATGTCTTCTGTTGGTTTTTTGTTCTCAGCAGATATATGGAGTGACCAGTCATTTCAAACAGACCCCGACTTACCACCTGGCTGGAAAAAAATCAACGATATAGCTGGGATTTATTACTGGCACATACCAACAGGAACAACCCAGTGGGAACGTCCTGTGTCAATACCAGGAGATCTTCCAGGATCAAGAAAAGGGTCACTTAGCTCTATCACCCCATCTCCTACTCCAGAAACTGAGGTAAAGTTTGTACACCAACCCAGAGCATGTGGAGAGGTGGAAAGATGTTTTAAATGGCTGTTACAGAAATTAGAATATTTTAGCCAGCTCAGGGCTGTGAACAGAGAGGGACTGAGTGCGCGACGTGGAGGGGGGGGGGGGGGGGAGGAAGTCACCTGGAGGGCCCTTGAAGCCAGCCGAATGTCTTTCCATTTTTTTAATGCAGTTCTGGCTGCAGCCACTAGAGGCACAGGGAAGTTTAAGCATAGCAAGAGATACTCAATATCATCTAGACTTGTCTTCTCCAAGACTGAACCAAACATTGCCTAACAAATCGTGTTGACATGATCATCAACCAAGCCAGCACTGGAGCAAGACAAGACTGCACGATTGATGACTGCTTCAGTAATTGCCAGCCTCCAGGTCATTTTCTCCAGTAGTCTAGCCTTCCTCTCTTCCCTTTCTTGCACCCAGCTCAGCCAGATCGTGCAAATCATTAGTTAGGGTATTGCAGCAAGATATAATGACCTTTCCCATTCTTTTCCTTAACTTCTCTCTCTCTTTTCACCACTTTTTTTTTTCATTTTTCTCTCCCTCCACCGAATTTTTCCATTCCCCCCCCCCCAGGTCTCAAGTCTTTTTCATCCTTATCCTGCTTGACAACAGAATATACTTAATAGTAGCATAGTAGCAAACCTTTGTTAATATTATGAATAGAAGGAGGGGAATTAATATAATAAGGTTTTAAAAGGATGCTTCCCCCACTCCACTCTTTACATGCATGGTAATGGAACATTAATCTCTTTTAGTAGTTATACATGTGGTACAGAAGTTAGAATTCCCAGATCAGGCACTGGGTTGTTATCATTATTATTGTATTGAAAGATCTAAAAGCCCTTTGTAATGTCATTAAAATTAGATTTATAACAAATTCCATACCCAGTCTTTCTCCAAAGGGGACCCAAAGCCGCATTGTTCTCCTGTGCTCCATTTATCCTCACAACAACCCTGTGAGATAGGTCTGGCTGAGAGTGTATCAACTTATAGCCGTCCATGGCAGACTGGGGATTTAAGTATTAGAGACACATAACTGGTTGCTTAAACCTCTCTTATTACACAGAATCATAGAATCACAGAGTTGGAAGGGGCCATATAGGCCATAATAGTCCAACCTCCTGCTCAATGCAGGATCAGCCTAGAGCATCCCTGACAAGTGTTTGTCCAACCACTGCTTGAAGACTGCCAGGGAGGGGGAGCTCACCACCTCCCTAGGCAGCTGATTCCACTGTGGCACAACTCTGACTGTAAAAAAGTTATTCATAATATCCAGCCGGTACCTTCCCACCCTTAATTTAAACCCTCCCCTCTGCTGCCAACAGGAACTGCTCTGTGCCCTCCTCTAAGTGACAGCCCTTCAAATCCTTAAAGAGAGCAATCATGTCCCCCCTCAACCTCCTCTTCTCCAGACTGAACATTCTGCAGTCCCTCGGCCTTTCCTCATAGGGCTTGGTCTCCAGGCCAGTGTTGCCTGTTGTGAAGATAACCTGGTTCATGGAGTTCCCTTCATACAGCTTCTGTCATCATTCTGGGGTTGGTGGCCAGTTTTCAAACATGTAGCATTATTTTTCTGAGTTATGCCTACCAGAAATGGAGACCCTTAGCTTCCACTGCAGATAGCATGGTATGGTTGTAGTTTGTCTCACCTCAGACAGGATTTTCCCATGCCTTTCCATTTTGGCCCCTCAAACTCCCACAATGATCCTGCAGCTGGTGGCCAATTTTGAGTGTCCTAGCTTTATTCTGTGATGAGTTATGCCTGCCAGCGTGGTGAAGCAGCTAAAGACTAGGATCTGGGGAATCCAGGTTCAAATCCCCACTCTGCCATGGAAGCTTGCTGGGTGACCTTTGGCCGGCCACATACTCTCTGCCTAACCTACCTCGCAGGGTTGTTGTGAGCTTAAAATGGAGGAGAGAAGAATGTTGCAAGCCACCTTGAGGCCCCATTTAGTGTAGCCAAGCTCCAGGTGGCACCTGGACATCTCCCGCTTTGACAGTTGATCTCCAGATGACCAAAATTATTTTCCCTGGAGAAAATAGCTGCTTTGGAGGGTAGACTTTATGGCATTATACCTTGCTGAGGCCCCTCCCCTCCCCAAACCCCGCCTTCCCCAAGGTCCACCCCCAAAATCTCCAGGTATTTCCCACCCCAGTGCTGGCAACCCTGTACCCCATTGGGGAGAAAGGCAGGAAATAAATAAATAGATGACGGACAGCCAGGTCGATTCTTTTATTGCTATAGATTAATTGTAACAGAAAGCCAAGTGATTTGTTTCGTCATGATATGTGGTTTAGATCATGGTCATACAGGGGACACATGGTTTAGATCATGGTCATATGGGGGGCACATGGTTTAGATCATGGTCATTTGGGGGGTACGTGGTTTAGATCATGGTCATACGGGGGCACGTGGTTTAGATCATGGTCATTTGGGGGCACGTGGTTTAGATCATGGTCATACGGGGGCACGTGGTTTAGATCATGGTCATTTGGGGGCACGTGGTTTAGATCATGGTCATATGGGGGCACATGGTTTAGATCATGGTCATATGGGGGCACATGGTTTAGATCATGGTCATACGGGGGGCACGTGGTTTAGATCATGGTCAAATGGGGGCACATGGTTTAGATCATGGTCATACGGGGGCACGTGGTTTAGATCATGGTCATATGGGGGGCACGTGGTTTAGATCATGGTCATACGGGGGGCACGTGGTTTAGATCATGGTCATTTGGGGGGCACATGGTTTAGATCATGGTCATATGGGGGGGTACGTGGAATCTGTTAGCTGCCCTGAGCTGTTTGGGTAGGGCAGGATATAAATCCCAAAATAAATAAATAAATTAAAATAAATCTTTGTCCAGGGGCCCATGGTGGCTCTTGGCAGCCCTGAGCCAGCTTATTTCATAACAAACGAGAGACTGATTCCAGTCATGCAAACTAACTACTTTGTGCCCTTCATGTGATTCTCCCCGAATTGCTGCCAGATACAAGAGAACAGGGAGAAATGTAAATGTGAACCGGGATTTATGTAAATGCAGTCTGCAGAAGCCAGAGTTAACTCCCCTCGTGGAGCCAGATAAGCCTGCACACAGCATCCTCCTGACCTAGAACGGTGGAGGAGGGTTGATTTCCCCCACCCCGTGTTTGTTTGTCACCTCGAGAGGTGTCACAGAGAAGTCACAGCACTTTGTATCCTGAAGCAGAAACCCTCTGTGTGATTATCATAAAGATCCCTTACAGCAGACATTCTCGGAGTGTATCATCATGAGTTTTTTTTCTAAATTAGGCAAACAGTGTTCTAGCCTCCCCAGGCATTAACAAGGGAGAGCTGAGGTGACACTTGTTTTTTTCCCCATTCGTCAGGAGCTTTTCCAGTCGCCATATCATGGGATCCCCAAGGAGCTGCACATAAAGACAAAACAAAATTGGATAAATTGGGGCTAGGGTGCTCACTCTTGTCTTGAGTCCTGGCTCATGTCGTTTAAAAGAAAGGAGGGAACGCAGATGGTCCTTCATGGAAGTCCTTGAAAAGAAACCAATCGTGTACAAAGAGCCCCCCCCCCCTCAGTGGAAGAAATTTGGAATAAATAATGCTCTTCCCTTCTACAGAGTGAATTTAAATGAGTAAATCCAAACATCCTGAAGATGTACCATCCATAATACATTTTATTGCCCTTTTGGGTTTCCCGACGTCTGATAGCTAGTATTTGTGTTTTCATTACATTTGCATCAAAATCGTATGACTTGAAGGTGGTCTGGTGTCACCTAAAAATGTCCTTGTGCCTTTCAACCTTAAACTAACAATGTTTGTGTGTGTGGTGCTGTAGTTTCCATTAGAGGAATTATAACAGAGGTCTCCATCAGGTGGCTCACGAGCCACTTGATGGTTGGCTGGCTGCCTCAGAGTCACTCATGCATCCCCTAGAAAACCCAAGAAAAGACTGGAAAAAGATCTCCCCCCCCTCCCGTGCTTTTATTTCATAGGATTTTTCTCTGTGCAGCTCAGCCGATAGCTTCATTCCTGAACTCTTTCTAGGTGGGGAAGTAGTTCAGTATATATTTTGTTACTCAGAAGTAGCTTTCATTAAAGAAAAGGACGTTGACCTCGTGAGTTATGTCATTAACCATCTGAACAATGGAAAATAATTCAGACTGAAAGAACCTGCTGGTTGTTCCTGATGCACCACAGATAATTCTTGCACAGTGGGGGGGGGGTGCATACATTTCAGTTGCATACAAATCACGGACAGCCCTACAATTAGGAAATGTGAGGCATCTTGCCTTATGGGGCAGATTTGGGGGGGGGGTTGCTTTTTTTTTTTTGCTGTCACATCACAGCTAACTTATGACGGCCCTGTAGTGTTTTTGAGGCAAGAGACGTTCAGAGATGGTTTGCCATTCTGTGCCTCTCCATAGTGGCCCTGGTATTTCTTGGTGGTCTCGAGTCCTAACACTAACCATAGCCACCATGTTTAGCTTCCAGGATCTGCTAGTCTGGGCTATCCGGGTCAAGGCAGGAGGGTTCCCCAAAAGGGCAGCAAATTGTCAGTGGCTTAAATTATTATCATCTTTTCTTCCCATTTATGGGGCATCCTTTAGATTTTCTGTCTTGGACACTAAGATGTCCCATCTGTAATGACAGCAATATCTAGAATAAAATATAGTCAACTGGAACCGTACTGGCTTTCCTTTTGTTCCTTGCTTGTAATAATTTACTTCATATTTACTATTCAGTTTCTCTTAGAAGCTACCTGACACTCATAGACACAGCCTTTCAGCTACTTCCGAAAGCCCCCTGAATACATTTTCTGACTGAGTAATTTGTCAGTTTCCTTATTATGTGATATCCAACGTATTTTTTTCTTGAGCCTTTTCACACACAAAACTTGCTTCGGAAGAGTGCAGTGCCCAGGTTTGAATGGAAAGCAATTCAATTTTAACAGATTTCCATAAGGAAGGTTATTAGTAGGAATTCTGACAATTACATTCTGTACTGTACCGTGGCTTAATTTGAAGATTCTATTAGAAGGAAAACAAGTTTCAGTTCTACAGACAGTAAGCTGAACATGGGGTAAGATTAAAATTTCATCAGTCACTGGTAGCAAAGAAACAAAGAAAAAATATGTCCAGCGTATAAGCACTAGCTAATTAATATGTACTCAGTGTTGGTCTAATTTGGGTATATATGTAAGCCAGCTTTTCAAAGACAGATCTCTACTTTATCCATTAGCAAAGTCCCTTGAAGGATTTGTCAGAAAAAAAGATTAAAGAATGACAAATACCAGACATGACATTTTCCAAAACAAGTTCCACATTGGAGGGTTTTTTTTAAGTTCTGAGAATCATATTAAAAAGCTACAGTATAGTTCAGACATAATGCCTAGCTGTGATTTCACACTGCCACGAATGAGACCTGTATATACGTGCCATGTCGTCCTTCTCCATTCTCTTCTCATGTTGTCAGAGTCAGTTACTTGCTCCTAACTAGTTTTGAATTCATCAAGACTGTAGGCTGTCCATGTCCAGCATGTAGCTTTTTATATAACATTAATACTAATTCCATTCTAAGCTTCCATGAGTACTGTGTTTAATAGAAAGGCCTCCTAAACTTAGCATATCCAGAGTTCCCCAGATTGCCCCATGTGTACTTTTGGAATTCTGAGAAAAGGGGAGTGAGTGCTACAACAAAATGGCTGCCAGGAGGGGCTGATTCCAGTCACAAAATAGTGAGACATTTCACAAAATATTAGGACGTGTCAAGCTAACCTTCCTCCTAGAAGGAAAGTAGCTGTTTCCAAGTGGAACGGCAGGTTAAAAAAGCCTCTCCTTTGGGGAGGCTCCCTTTGGAGGGGGGCTGTGGCTCAGTGGAAGAGCCTCTGCTTTGCATGCAGAAGGTCCCAGGTTCAGTCTTCAGCATCTCCAGTTCAAAGGATCCTGCGGTAAATTATGCGAAAGACCTTTGCCTGAAACTCTGAAGAGGTGCTATCAGTCTGTGTAGAGAATATTGGCCTTGATGGACCGATGGTCTGAATTAATATACAAAAAGAGCCCGTACCTTCATACATTATGTGTCTCTGTGGGCTATGATGAAGCACCTCTCCTATTCCCAAGAAACAAAGGGAAAACATGGGAGGCCCTTTGCTTTGCATAAAAAGCAAATGGGCTTCAGGAAACACATTGGTGGGTGCTACGGGACACATAGGCGCAACCCTGGGGAACATTGGCATAAACCATTCCTTGAAATTACAGTGAAAGTGGTGAAGTATGGTTTCTGCTGGCCAGAAAGCCACAATAGCCAGGTTGTTCCTTCTGGACCAGGTCCAAATTCACAGAAAAGTTCTGAGAAGACCCGACGTCTGCCCATACGTGATAAGTGCTGAATCGTCTATTTTAACAATATTTGTGTGGATTTATACAACAACCAAATTAGTATTATCAGCAAAAGACCGACGAGAAACTTAATTTGAAGCAAAGGCTTAACCCTTTTCATTACAGAAAACAGACTTTAGTAGATAAATAATTTTGATAAAAGAGACTGAACCATTATTAATTAAAAGCCAACGCAGAACATTTATATATTCATACAGCTCTTTGTGTCCACGTTTTACTTTTAGGTGCCCCCAATAACAGGAGTTATTCTATTGACTCGATTTTACTTACTCATTATAGTTCATAGGCAGAGGCTCAGCTTTGAGAAGAAAGGGCTTTTGAATCAGCCAAGCAGTCATAAAAATTCCTCATGTTTTGTGGGGAAGAGGCGAATGGAGACCAACATACATACACATGTGGTCAGAACTGCATATTACTTTCCCCCGCAGGGGATCATTTTAAGACTTGCCTTCCTTTTCCAAATGCAACTACTAGGGTTGCTTCTTAGAAGGAAAGAATGGCGTGGGAGGCGGAGCGGAGGAGGAGAAGGAACACCTCTTTAACCCTTTCTTCTCCTGCTCATTTCCTGCTGAAAAGGTCTTCCCCAAGCAACTTATACTTTTGCTGTGGGAAATGTATGGGTACCACTATCCCTCCTCCCAGTGCAAATGGTTTGAGAGTTGTATTTTTCTCTATTACATTTTTTAAACTTCTGGATTATGTAGAAATGTTTTAAGGACTTCAGGGTGGAAGAAGACAGAAGGATTTTGACCTGTGATGGCTTTGAAATGAAAGGGAATATACTCACTTGTTTCTCTTGCTTGCAATTTTGTTGCAGCAAGGTCTGTCTGTATTTCTTACTAATCACCTTCCATCAATGTCACCCCTCCCTCCCCTTATGTTGAAATTCCCACTAACATTTTGTTAGTTGATCTAGTCCCTTGAAAATACAAGAGGATTACCAACTAGCAAAATCCCAGGGAAACAGAAATGCAAACACACACACCCCATTTCTCTTCAAGTAGGCCAAGACAATTTGACCAAGTTCTGCATGCTCCTTTTCATTCAAAGATCATAATTAAAGGATGAGCTTATTGTTTGTCTGGTTCTGAATTGTAATATCTCAGTTACATTTCTTGTTCCTTATTCTGAGTACTGCTGCTGATACCAAATACCATTGTACCCTGGGCCAGCCCCAATATAGAGGCGAACCAAGCTGCTCCCTGGGGAATCAAAAGTCCAAGGTCATCTGCTTCCGTTGCGATAGCCTCTGCTTGTATTTTTGGAGGAGGTACAGATAGGTTCTTTGGCCAGATGGTATCTCCTGTCATGCAGGGGACAGAATTGGGAGTCTTTTTATCTCCACTGGCAGATTTCCTTGTAATGAGGAGAAAGTAAAGAACAGACAGACATTAACAATGAAAATGGAGAAAGTAGAGTCACAGTCCGGTTGTGATCAGTGAAATGTCCCTGTAGTTACGCTGCTGAGCATATAAAACCCAAGTGGGGGCAGCACATTTTGAATTTATGAGAGAGAGCAGCATAAATTTTTTGGCTGGCCCTGATTTTACCACAAGTTAAGACGCTGAATTTCAAGGTGATCTGTTTCCCTAACCCAGCCTGTAAATATCGATGCTAACAACGGTGTCTTGTGTTTTTTTCTTTTTCCCCTTTCCGTTCTTTTTCTTTCTTCGTCTTTTTTTTTTAATGAATGTGCTTCTTCCTGTGTGAATAATTATATGTCTAGAAACAGCCATGGAGTGATTTTGCTGTACTGAATGGGGGAAAGATTAATAGTGACATTTGGAAGGCAAGTATTTTGTCAGATTTCAGAACATTTTAATCCTTCTTTTAACATTTTTAAAAAAGAACAACAATATTTTGCATGGCTGTGGCTGTACATATCATTTCTCTCTCCACATATCACTCATAACGTCTAATCTGCCAAAACGAACGGGGGGTTTCACTAGGGGAGGTTTCGCTCACAAATCTGTTGCCTAATTGTGACCTTTTCGCACAGAATACATTTGCTCAGGTCAACAGGGCAAACACTCACCTGTAACGAAACAGTGCCTGTTTTTAACAAGCTGTACTCTGAAAGACATATGCATGCCTTTATCCACTTCAGCCGGAAACACCTGTGTTGTCGCTTTGCAGGAAGAAATTTTATTTTCCTTTGAATATGTAATCACTTCATGTGGGTCAGATACCTAACATCCTCTTGAAAATGCTACGTCTTTTCGTTTAGGATCTTCATGCGGCCACAGTGAACCCAGATCCCAGCTTAAAGGAGTTTGAAGGAGCAACATTGCGCTATGCCTCTTTGAAGCTCAGGTATGCTTTTTTTAAAAAAAAGAATCTATTAAGTGTCCTTTCCTCTCAGTCCTCGATGCATCTACTTGGTAATATGTCCCATTGATGTCAATAGAATCTACTTTCAGATCAAGATGGCGGCCTTAGCCTGCTATAGGGAGCAAAATCTTTCCTGTAAGCAGACCCACTCCATAGGTCGTCAGAAGATTCTTGGCCACACTGGTTCAAGGCTTGTTCCCGCTGTGGGCTTAATCCTCCAACTGGGAACAGTCATTTAAGAAAAGTCACTTCCTCGTTGGCACTCCATGAAATTGCAGAGCAGCCGGGTTAGAACAGATAAAAGGAAGTACTTCTTCACCCAAAGAGTGATGAACACACGGAATTCACTGCCACAGGAGGTGGTGGCGGCTACAAGCATGGATGGTTTCACGAGGGAATTAGATAAACACATGGAGCAGAGGTCTGCCGGTGGCTATTAGCCAGAAAGTATAGATAGGAACTCTCAGTCTGGGGCAGGTGATGCTCTGTATTCTTGGTGCTTGGGGGGGGGCAACAGTGGGAGGGCTTCTAGTGTCCTGGCCCCACTGCTGGACCTCCTGATGGCCCCTGGTATTTCTGGCCACTGTGTGACACAGAGTGTTGGACTGGATGGGCCATTGGCCTGATCCAACATTGGCTTCTCTTATGTTCTTATATTCTCTTCTGTTCTTACATTCTTACTCAAACAACGTACTTTCAGACACTGAATACTTACTTGGATGGGCGAACACAAATATATGAATGGGGCAGTCGTGGATATGGCCACTATCAAATTTCTGTAGTCATGGTACCTGGAAAAAGCACCACTGCAATATATGGAACTGCTATCTGTATACTTATAACTGCCCAGTCCATACGTTAGATTAACAATGGGAATGTGTGATCAAAGGAGGACAGTGGAACTGCTCCGTAGTTAAAAGCCTTGAGATTAGCCTTGAAAGAAACTATGCTGTGAAAAGTTCATGGAGGACCCGTTTATACTGTTCCACGGAGAGAAGGATGATCACTTTTGGGATGTCACTTAGTGACTGCACTGAGCACGGTGGCCTGTATCCTACCACTTGAGCAGTGTTTGACGCTTTCCTCTAGCCTAAAGAGCTTTCCTCCAACTTAAGTGACTCTTCCTTTGGAAAAAGGTTCCTTAGGCTGGAGGTAGGCTTCAAGATAGGGCATGTGCCAGTCCTTGTTTTTTTTATTTTTTTATTATTTCCACTTTTACATTTATACATTTCATCTATACATCTGACATATATATCAGAGTTAGTCATCGCTTAATTCTTATATACATTTTTAGGTCACTAATTTCTTGGCAGTTTATCTATCCAATTATATACCTTTTCCCATCTCTTTTCATGTACCTTTTCATTTCTGTTCTGCAGCATTAAACTTAATTCATCCATTCTCACTAACTCCAGTATCTTAACTATTAATTCTTCCTTCTTGGGTATAACCTCGGATTTCCAATTTTTGGCCAATAGCAGTCTAGCAGCTGTTATTATGTATCCTAGTATGTATGATTCCTGCTTATTATAGCCTTTCGGGATCATATTTAACAAATATATTTCTGGTTTTAAAGCTACATTTTTTTCCATGATTTCTTGGATTACCCTCCGAACCATCGTCCAATATCCTTGTATCTTACTACACATCCACCACATATGGTAAAATGTCCCCTTATTCGTTTTACATTTCCAACATAAATTAGGATACTCGGTATAACACTTAGCTAACTTGTCCGGAGACCAATGCCATCTGTGGAACATCTTATACACATTCTCCTTATATGCCACTTTCATGTATTTGACCGTTTTCCACAGTCTAGTATGTGCCAGTCCTTCTTGTGAGGGAAAAAGTGGATAGGGGAAACCTGCCTTGGAAATACTCTGCTGTATATTCAGTGCAATGGAGCAGATTGTAGGAATCTGAGGCCATTCTGGGAACTGCTGTGCGGTGAGTGACTGATAGGGGGTGAAATTTCCAAACAAAAAAACCTTCGGGTTGTCTTTTTTCTTTGTCTTTTTTTGCCAACAAGTTCACAGCTGACTTGTGGCAAACCTGTTGGGTTTTCAAGACGAGAGATGTTCAGAGGTGATTTGCCATTGCGTGCCTCTGCATCACAACCCTGGTATTCCTGGGTGGTCTCCCTTCCAAATACTGACCAGAGCTGACCCTGCTTAGCTTCCAAGATCTGATGAGATCGGGCTATCCAGGTTTGAACTAAACCATCTTCTTGCTCAGGAAAGCTGACAGAAAAGGGTGAATTATTTTTACACTTTCAATACAGGTCTCTGTGTGAACCGGAGGTTCATATTGCCATTAGTGATTTTGTATGGTTCTAGAATTTATTTCTATATCACATTTTTAGCCTGCCTTTCCTTAAAGGTGCTTGGGGCAGTGTACATGGTTCTCTTCTCCTCAGTTTTACTGTCAGAGTAACCCTGTGTCATAGGTTTGGTGAGTTTCATGAATTTGGACTTTCCATTCCTAGTCCAATCTTAAATCTACCTACACCACACTAGTTCCCAGTGTAGAGGTGGGATCTTGTATAGTTTGGTCAAGAGACTGAAGAGAAGGTAATCGGAAAGAACTTTTCCTAGGAAATACTGAGGTGAAAAATGGTGACATTCGGAAGAGTGATATTCTTTAAAAAAAAAATTAGAAATGCAGCTTGGCTTATTTACAGGAGCCATCTGCACAGAGAACTCTGTTCAGACAAACCACTTCCTCTCTCTCCCCTTGGGTACACTGCTGGTGTCTTGCTCAGATACCCCTCAAATGCTTGAGGCAGTCATGCCTTAGCATAGATGCAGATACCACCAAACATCATAGGTACAGAAGCCTCTTTGTGCTAAAAGCTGTATGTAAATGTATTGCATCCTTTTAATACTTGACACTGAGCCTAATTTTAGTATCGTTTCCACAACAGAAATGCCTCACAGTGTGATGAAGATGATTCCTGTAGCATCAACAGTGATCCAGAAGCTAAGGTCAGTAAGCAAATGGTTTTTGAAAAATGCCACTCTGCGAAAAATGTATGCAGTTATCACAAAAACAATGTATGCCGTTATCACAATGGGGAAAAAACTAGCATTAACCACAGATGGCAACTTGTAAATACTGAAATGAACTAGTTTCAACAAGGCATGTATTTGTCTATAGACCTTTGAGAAAAGGTTGGTTCCTAGCAATAAGGAAGGCATTGGTTACAATGCTCCCTCTAAGCTGTGGAGTCTTGGGAGCAAAAATTCTACTTTGTGAGCTACTGGCATTAAAGTTGTGAGCAAGCGATTTGGCTACTACATAAATTAGTTTGCTCTGGAGCCATCCTTCCTGAGTTAAGACAAAAATGTGTGAGCCAGAGGCTAAAAAACTGTGAGCTAGCTCAGACTAACTCAGCTTAGAGGGAACACTGGTTATGAATCTGGAAAAGGTTGGGGACCCCTGTCTTTGGAGGGAGGGAGTTATGGGTCTGGCCGGTGATTCTGGTAGACTTCTGCTCAATTTCACAACTTTTCAGCACAGGGTTCCCCTTACTTCCCACACTATATAACGTCTGCATGAAACATGAGCCATAGCCTGTCTTCCTTGCTTGAGGGATGAGCACGTTCCTTGAGAGGACAGCTTTCAGAAATCTCATCTCTTAGCTCAGACGCCTTTTAAACACTGAGTGCCAGTCCTGCACAACTGTCATCAACACCAAGCCTGAACCAAGAAAGTTGGAATTATTTTTAACTTTTGTTTTCCTTTCTGAATTGCCCATCTTGTGAATGCCTTTATCTCTGTATGTGTTTAATAAAAAAATAACTTGCATGGTTAAAACTGTAAGTCTGGTGCTAACTCTCCAGCTAAGAAAGACTTCATGTGCCCAAACACTGCAGTATTACCGATTTGGGCAAGGATGTCAAAAAGCCCCAGTACCCCAGGGAGAAAGGGTCCACAGACCTGTCCTTAGAGTGCTCCCTCCTAAGTCTTCCCTCTAAAGTAGAAACGTCAAACTCATTTGTTACAAGAGCCAGATCTGACATAAATGTCACTTTGTCGGACCAAGCCATGTGTGCCATAAAATGTAATGCCAGGTAAAAAAAGGTAAAGGTAAAGGTTCCCTTGCTCGAAAGCCAGTCGAATCCGACTCTAGGGTTGCGGTGCTGATCTCCATTTCAAAGCCGAAGAGCCAGCGCTGTCCGAAGACGTTTCCGTGGTCATGTGGCCGGCATGACTAAACACCAAGGTGCACGGAACGCTGTTACCTTCCCACTGAAGTGGTACCTATTTATCTCCTTGCAATTTCTTGCTTTCGAACTGCTAGGTTGGCCAGGTACCAGACGTAAAAACTTTATAAAGGACAGCACCTGTTAAGCTCTGAGGTAGTGTGTTCTCACTGCCGAGTGTGTGGTGGAGACCCCAGGCTGCCTTGCGACCAGCATAATGAGATCACCAACACTTGCCCCCCCCACGAGACAGCCCCCGCCTATGGCTTTAGGCCACCAAATGGTTCATGGGGGAGGGAGGCCCAGCCCTGGGGTCACGTGCTCTATGGCAGGTCTAGGCCCGCAATGTGTGTAAGAATCGGCCGAAGAACACACACACACACACACACCCGTTGGCCAAAGCTCTGCCATCGCATGGAGGATGGCAGATACAGCGGTGTCGTGGACCGGCCTCAGCCTGAGGGGCAGCCAGACTCTGACTTGTTGCCTGAGCCCATCCCGAGTGAGGACCAGTCTGACTTGCAGCCTGACCAGTCTGACTGGCAACTGGAGCCCAGTGTGAGTGAGGACTCCTCAGAAGTCGAGCCTGAGTCCAGCGTAGCGAAATATGACTTCAGAGTAGAGGACACTCAGGAATTCCAGTCAGGTAATACTGAGCCGGCTGAAGTCAGGGAGCAGGTACCTCCGGAGGCACGCACATGACTCCCCCAGATTTCTCCCCCCCCCCCGCTCATAGAAAGAAGAAGGGCTAAGATCAGAAGGCAGTTGCAAGAACGCAGACAGAGTAAAAGGTGAATGGCCCGTCGACCGCTACAAGATGAGTCGTTACTTGCCAGCTAACTTGCCAGCTGCAGATAAGACTAATTAGGGAAAAGCTACATCAAGCTGGGTGTGAGCTGTTGCCAGCTTGTGGAAGCAACACGTCACCTCCCAGTGAATCCTGCGACCACAACTCCCGACTCTGCTCTACTCCTGTGACTCTTGGACCAGCTTGACTCTGCTTTTGGACTCTCTCTGACTGCAACAACTGACCTTGGACTGTTTGGACTACGCCGTGAGCATTCCTTTGACCTGCTCCTGCCTGCGTGACCTGGACTTGGACTTGGAGCCTGAAAGACCAGCTGGGCTATGACAAGCGGTAGCACTGGCTGCCAGCAGGCCCCACCAGAGGATCGTCTGCACCCCCCACACACACACGTGCAAACGCCAATGCCTGCAGCCATTCGAACAGCATCCCTGGAGATGCAGGTGAAGCAGAGAGCTGTGTGACCTTGCTTTGGAATCCCAAGCCAGAGTGAATGCGGCTGCAGCGGCACATGACTTATCAATGAGACTGCCGCTGAAGTCAAGGGGTTCTGCTTGACTGTTTTGCCCCGCTGAAGCCACGATCGGAGCGCTCCCCCCCCCCAGCAGCCCCCCTGTTCCCTCCCTCACACCAGTTGCTTGCGGGCCAGATAAAAGCCCTAGACGGGCCGGTTTCAGCCTGCGGGCTGCACGTCTGACGTTCCTGCTCTAAAGGTTGCTCCCTTCTACAGATGAGACCAACCTCTGAAGGTAAATCTGAGCAAGAATTCGTAATAGGAAATCACAAGAGACTGTAGAAAAGGAAGGCGGCCCAATGTGGACCTGTGATGAATCCCGAATTGTTCTCCTACCTGAGCCGCTAAAATTTTGTTTAATTTTTCCACGTTAACAGAAAAAAGGTGAGGGGAAGATGCAGGTTAGGAAGCACCAGGTATATATCCATTGCAAATGGAAGTGGCCGCCACCTTGTGGACAAGTGTGAGAACTTTACGCAAGAGAAAAGGTTTTCCTTTGAAAAGATTCCCGGCCAAGTTTAGAGGAGGAAGACGGGACATACTTAATTACGGATGGCCCACATGATTTTACAAGTTGTATTTAAAGCTGTTCCTTTCCCCCCATTTCCACATTTTTGATAAAAGGCGGAAGAACGGAGGTTTAAGGTCGGCACAGTCGCCAGCACAACAAACTTGCATCGCCCATTTCTGTTAGTCGGTATGCCACTTGCTTTGCACTTTTTAAAAAAACCACGCAGGCACTGCTTTTCAACACTAACTGGGCTGAGAGATACCCGGGAGCTTCTCACGCTGGCAGAAACGTGATCCTGGTTCTTCATTAGAACAGATTTTGAGTCCATCGGCACCTGGACTCTGCTGCTGCAGACCAACGTGGGTGCCCTCCTGGATCTGGTCCTTCCGTGTTTACTGTGCTTTCCATTCCTCCTCGAAGTAGCACTGAGATCACTGCGCGGTGGATGTCTTTCTGGTTATTCGTGTTTCTTTGTGCTCCGCTTTTTTTTATCTTGCCGTCTTTGTCTGAAGCAGCTGCAGTAGCCACTTTTAAGAGTCGTCGCCTAAACCTGCCTTCCTCTTCCCGCTCGACTGTGGTGGATCGTGGACGTTTTTATCTTATAGAGTTTGATGCGTTTTGGATCCTTTTTAATGTTTTTGTGTTTGTTTGAAGCTTTTATATGCTGCCGCCTTGGAGATCTGCTTGCAGTGGCTCAAAACGGGAAAAAAGATGAAATCTATAAAACTGAAAATAGTTACATTTAACAGCCATTAAAAACCAGCCTATACAGTCCAGATGCATAAAACCCTATAGCTCAACAAACATCTCAGGGGATTCTTCCCCACCACCCAAAAGTCGAGTCCCTTTGAGATTTAAATGAGTGAGTGAAAAGTACTTTTCTGTCATCCTCATCGCCAGTGAAAAGTACTGAGACTTAACTAGTGATTTCAGCTCTCATACTTTGTTTCAGGATAGAACAAGACAAATTGCTTGACTCACAAGCAGGCTTATATCCCCCACATTCAAACACACCTCCACACCAGTGATAGGCTATTTACAGTGTTCAGCTGTTCCATAGGTTTACGCTAGGATCCTAGGCCTCTAATAGGTGCGGGCTAGGATCCGCTTGGGTCATTGTCTTTAGGAGCGAAGCTCAGGCTTTTCACTTAACTGCGTGGAAGCCCGGCTTCGCACACGGTTGAACCTTTACATTACACTGAACAAAGGGAGTAGTCACTCTCAGAGGTTTCTTCAAATCAGTAGCTGATATAGAGAGCCAAGAGGCACGGGTGGTTCATTCAGATTTCCTCTCGGCCATAAACTCTATAGGTGGTTTTAGGCCTTACCCACCCCATATGCAGTGTGGGGGTAATAATAATCTACCTTGCAAAGCTGTTGTAAGGCTATGTGAAATAAATACTGAGTACTCTACATTAGTGTGACATCATTGTTTTGTTGCGTCCTTGCTTTTGTGATTAGTTGCCTTGGGTGCCCCAACTGGGTAGAAAAGCCATTACCTAAATGAATGAACAAATGTTATTTTAAAGTGAATGGGGAAAAGCATGCTTTTGCTAAGAGAAGGAGGAGGAGATTGAATTTATACCCCGCCCTTTGCTACCCGAAGGAGTCTCAGAGCGGCTTACAATCCTTTTTCCTTCTTCCCACAACAGACACCCTGTGAGGTAGGTGGGGCTGAGAGAGCTCTTTCGAGAATCTCCCTTGAGAGAACAGCTCTGGAAGAATTTACAACTGACCCAAGGTCACACCAGCAGCTGCATGTGGAGGAGTGGGGAATCAAACCTGGTTCTCCCAGATTAGAGTCCACGCTCCTAACCACTACACCAAACTGGCTAAAGGGTGCTTATGTGGAGAACTAGCTGTATTAGTGGGAACCAAAAGCTGTAGTGTCAAAGCAGTTGTTAGTAATCCCCTGTCTAAGGATGTATTGGCCAGTTTCTGCTAGAGTT